GCGAATCATGGCATCATGGCAATCACACTCATGCAAATATGCTAAAGCATAAAAACTCACCGAGTACTCCAAGCCAAAACAAAAACTAGTTAGAAAAATGCATGATCTTAACTATACAAGATGCCTAATGCAACGCATGCAATATGAAATTAATAGACTTGGCTATTAATATGGCATATGAATCGATTTGATAACATGCGATTAAACACGTATTCAAAGAAGATATTAAAATTGCAATGCAGTTTGAATGATGCGCCGAGCCCCGGTGCATGTAAGACAAGATGAATGGATGCAAACATGCAAGCATAAGGTATGTTAATCGAAACATGACCCTAATCTAACCATCGAAAGTGATTAAATAAAAGGGAGAAAGACGTGGGGTTAGAAGACATACACACATGCACGCACACTTATTACAACATTACGCCCTCGCGAAGGAGGGTCCGAATGAATAAGCTAACTGGCTACGCTAATGAAGCTAACTATTACAAACTGAAACTAATTAACTAACTTATTCTAGGCTAATTAAAGCAATTAAATAATTAACTATCTCAGCTAATTAAATAGTTACAACACTTGCACGAATTAGTTACCCCTAATCTGTTAAGCAAAGCGATTAAATGGCGTTGGGAAGTTAGGGATGCATGCTCAGTTTCTCCACTCGAAAAGCCACCGTCTTGCCATTGAACGCCTTTGTTTGCACATATTTGAAAACCAACAATGCTGCCAACTCCTAGAATGCCTCTGCTTCACCTTAGGAACACACTATGCAAAATTTCATTGATGGCCGGTCGACTACCAATGGTGGTCGGTCGGCTAGTACTGGTGGCCGTCGGCCATTACTGGTGGCCGGTCGGCTACCCTTGTCCAGAACTTCCCCTTTTGTTACAACAGAGAGCAAACAGAGGCAAAGCAATGTATTCTTAAGGGTTATCTGTACTGTTACCCTTCTTATCGTTAAACAAGCTCAAAGGAGTGTAACCCTTGGTCCTCAAACCATCAACCAAGCATTTTTCATGCATGATGGCTAAGGAACCAAGCTTGTACAAGCTTAATGAGTGCAAAACAAGACCAAAAAAGACCACCACCCTATCATGCATGATCAAGGGTGATGGTGTCCAAGGAAAGTGACACATTTCATCACTTTGAGTATGAAATGTCCCATTTTCCTTGTGTTCGTATTAACGTCCAATTCGAAGACATGCAATGCAACACGAAATATGCTTATCTTGCCTCTTTTACTTGTCATGTTTTGTTTACTCATTTTAGTTACTGATCCACTCTTTAATTGATTAAGTCCAAAGGTGAGTGTTCTCTAATGGGAAGATGGCTCAAACCACAAGGTGCTTTGGGCATGAAAGAGGCATTACACTATTAGTAATGAAACCCCTAAGGGATTAAACCATTAGGTGCAACACCTCAATTCCACACTTAGGCAAACAAGTGGTTTGAAACCACTTTCAAAGCAAACAAAAGAGTGAATAATGGAGGGAGGTTGTAGGGATTAAAGTGTTGAAATGGAGTGAAAAACAACACTAAAACATGCTTTCAACTCAAAATAATGATGATTAAAGCACTAAAACATCAAGCTATTGAAAGAATTAACACTATAACTATGCAATACAAGTCTCAGCTGAATTAACCAGCCCAAAACAGAGCCAAAATAGGTCAAAACAGAGGCAAAAACATGCTGGACTTAAGCTTAAGTAAGCTAGAAAAACATGCTAACTTATGAAGCTAACTAGGTATGCAAACAAGACACAAGGAGGGGAGCTAACCCCTCCAATTTTGGACTTCAAAACAAAGTTTTTACCACTAAAAAACCTTTGAGATTCAGTGGTTAAAAGGCCAAAAAAAGTAGTTTTGAAAGTGAGGAAAGATAGCACAAAAAGTTTAACAAGCTGAGGAGCCAAAAGGGTGGACAACCCCCTAACTCAAAAAGGCTCAAACTACCAATTTTAGGTCACAAAAATAGAATTTTTTACAATTTAAAAACAATCGAAAAAGATAGGAAAATAAGTATGCACAATAAGCTTAAATGAGGTAAGTGCTCTATGTTTGAAGCAAAGCACAATTTAGGCACAAATCCAGGCTCAAACCTCCTTCCAAAGCTCAAACAAGACTCCAAGGGGCCTCAGCTCAATGGTGGTCAAGTTTGGTTGAGGGTTGGTGTGCAAAAGTGTGGAGGAACTAGACAAGTGTATGCAAAATAACAAGGGAGAGAGAGAGAATTCCAGAGAGAGAGGGAGATTTTTGGTTCAAAATCTTCTAACCCTCCAAAATGGGGGAGGAACCCCCTATATATAGAAAATCAAGTCTTGAGCTTGGATACATCTCACCATACATATGTATGAAGATGCAACTCAGTGATCAACAGTTGGCATAGCTGGCAAACAAATATCTAGAAAAGGAGACCAATGGCCATCGGCCACCAGTGGTGGCCGATAAGCACAAGCCATGGCCAACAGATTCTAGGGCTGGTCGACAGGTCACCCTCTCTTCCAGGCTAGAGGCAACAAGCTCTAGGTCCAAAAACATGCACAAAACAGATAAGGTTTAGAGGCTCAAAGACAAGGCGTTCCGCCGAGGACTTTGGGCGCTCAAAACGAACACAAACAAGCACAATCATCGAGTGCACAAATGATGACGTCCAAGTCTTGAGGACAATAAAAAATGGGGTGTCTACACTTTTCAAAAGCTATTCATTTTTAATAAATAGAAATGCCTCGTAGCTCGATTTATTGAGGCTCGAATGGCCCGAATTGTTCTCTCTCCTCCCCTTTCTATTTTACTTCTGTTCTCCTCTCTTCTCTAAGTGTTCTCTCTCCTCTTCTCTCTTCTCTATCTCTGTTCTGTTCTCTCTCTCGCTCGTCGTGATCACCGTGACCCCTCTCTTCTCTGCCCGACACTATGGCGACACAATAAATGGCTCCACCAACACCACAGCCTACGCCTTTAGAGAGTGCATGAAAGACCTTTCTCGCTTTGATTGCGATCTCTATTTCGCCCAAATCAAAACCCAGATCCTTCATTGCCTCCCTTTCCAATGTCTGATTCACGATGGTCAATTGTTCTACGATGGGCGTTACTTGAGGTACGATGATTACATGTTCTTCAACGAAAGTTTGAGTGGATTGGATTGAACTGTGTGTGGGTCGAGTGGGTGTATTGGTGGGAATGAATGTTGGTGATTTGGTGAGGAATTTGAGCTTGGAAGGTGTTAACAATGGTGGATTCGTTGTTGGGTCTGGCTCAGTGTTGTTGTTGTTGTTTTTTTTTTTTTTGTGTGTGGTAAAATTGTTAATAAAGTGTATGAATGGTAAAATTGGATAAGTAATCATATTGGTGTTCTCCCATCTCTTTTTCTCCCATCTCTTTTTTTTTTCTTTTGTTTTGTTCTCCCATCTTTTCTTCTGTGTGTGTGTGTGTGTTGTTTTTGTTCTGTGTTATGCACCATCATCCTTCTCTCTCTCTCTCTCTCTCTCTTTCTCTTGCCTCTCTGTTTCACTGAGAAAAAAGAAAAAAAAAGAGGTGCCAAAACGACGTCGTTTTGGCACCTTGAGCCATTCGGGCCAATCTATTTTCGAGCTACGTAGCAAAGTTGTTTAATAAACCATTTGGAGTGATGGTTTAATAATCAAATTTGATAAAACCCTTTTCTATTCGATAAAACCAGACTGTTTTTAGATCTGTACAGAACAAAATTTTGGAAACAACTTCTACACCTAAATTGACCTTGATGGCCTCAATGCCACTCAGCTTTGTGTTACGGGTACTCCAAAATTGTTGTCGTACAAGTACCGGGTACCAAGGTTGTTAAAATTGGGATTCCAAGTAGAATCGTTGGGAGGGACTAATGGATCCGGTCATAGAATCGGATCGAGAATCGTAAGATTCTACTTTTAATGCAAAATAAAATGAAAAATTATCGATAATGATAATCTTTGTTACATAATTTTAAAAAGATTAAAGAAAATTGATGGATTTGTTATAATGTATATTCTTTGTTAACATAAATTAGAGAAGACATTTGAAAAATGAGTTTCTAGTCAAAATTTTTATATAGATATACACATATATATAAGAAATAAACAATAACAAAAAAATTGGTAGGATCGGGATTGAAATTGAGTCAGGTTCATATGCAATTCTATATCACTTTATGACTAGGATTGTAGTGACTTTAAGATCTTATTAAATTTAAGATTCTAGTGTGATCTGGATCGTTTAGCCAAACTGAGATCGTAGATCGTAAGATCTTACGATTCAGATCGGGATTCTAATAACTATGCCGGGTACTTATCGGGTACTAATACGGCTGCAAGCGTATCGGGTACAAAAAAATGCACCGGATACGTTTTATACGATATGTAGAAGCCTGGTACGCGATGGGTATGTTTTTGGGTATGTCGGGGTAAAAAATAAGATTTTTAACAATTATAAAGGTACTGGACCAATTTTGTTTGTCTATTTTAAAAAATTAAATAACTTTGGGTTCTTATGTAATAATAAAAACATAAAACAAATTGAAATTTGGTTTATTATGTTGGATTGAGTGATTTGGAGAGAAAATAAAAGAAATGGAGAAATATGTATTTCTTTTACTAGTTTGGATAATTTAAGTAGAGAGAAATGTGAAGAAATTGATAGAAATAAAGAGAAACATATTTCTTTTATAACCCTCATTTTTAATCTTCGCAAAAGTAGAAAGATTGAGGGAGAAAAGAAACCTACAAATTCTTATATTTTCATAATACTAATTTTATCCCTGTAAAATGATTGACACCCATGTCCTCAAAATACTATAAAAAAGTTATTTTGGTAATATAACATCAAACAAATTTATTTATTTATTTATTTTTTCTTATAAAGCTTAACCAAATAAGAATTAGTGAAATCATAATTATTTCTTTTCTTTTATTTTTTATTTATTCAAATAAAAAAAAATTTATAATCATTTTTAAAAAAAAATTAAATAATCATTTCGTTTATTATCTCATTCCACAAATTGCGTTATTGTTTTGATTCGATTCTCTCTAGTGAAGAACACAGTCGACGAGTTCGAGTAAAAAATACAGTCAGCGATTGAACTCTCCTTCGAAGACGACAGTACTGGTCGACGGTAAAGCTCGATATTCCGGTGAGTTTCTCTTAGTTCCTCTTCTTCGATTCTTCTTCCTCTTTCTTGGATTTTTTTTTCCAGATTTCCCCCCTTTTTTTTCGCAGCAAACAACCAGATCTACATGGTTTTTTTCGCAGCGATTGAATCTTATGTTTTGGATTTCATAAATGTAAAACTAATATTCGTCTTTTTCAAAATTTGTATGGCGCTTTTTATTTGTTTATTTTTTTCTTGTGGCCTTTTCTCCCTTCTCTATTTCTTGGTCTCTAATATTGATAATTTGAATGTGCAGAGTATGAATTTTTAGCTCTGGGTTTTTGTGAATTTGATTGAGATTCATTGTTGTTTGTGACAGTGTGTCAAATTAATTCATGTTGGTATGTCATATTGTTGAACATTGAACTTGGTATTACGTATAGGGGAAGTTGTTATTTATTGCTTATAAAAAAAATGGTGATTATTATGCATTATTAATAGTAATAGCTGCTGTACAGAGTTCTATACTTGGTTGTCTAGTTCATTGGGGCAATAAGGAAATTAATAGCTGATGATTTTAGGAGAGTTTATTTTTGTTGTGGTGCAGTTGTAGGTTTGTTGTTTCTAGCAAAATAAATAATAAATGGCTAATCTTTGTGGTTCAAATCCTATGGTCCTTGTTGAGCGGTGACCCTTGACCCTTGACCCAATCCTTTTGTTTAATTCACTTAGGTCATGTTTGTTTGGGTGGACATGAATTTGGGATTGGACTAATAGTCTAATAAAATTATTAATCCGATGTTTGGTTAAACAATTGAATAATTATTTTACACTTGACTATTAGTTAAGATAGGATACATAATCTAACGGATTTGTAGTCCTAGGACTATTAGTCATGGGAATGCTAATCCAGTCCGCCCAAACAAACATGGCTTTAATGCTGTATGTTTGTAAACATTGATCCCAGAATAGGCAAAGGTGATACTAAGAGTCAAAAACTTAACAACTTCTTTCATGCGTTAAATTATCATTTAAAAAATATATAAAAAAAAATTAACATGAGAGGGCCCCAAGCAGGCTGGAATTGTAAGTCCTACATGGTTTTTCTAAGCATTTGTTATTGGATTCAAAAACAATCCTAAGCAGCTCATTAGGTGCTTTTATTTCCAGAGTTGGAAGATTATGTTTTTGGAAAAATTGCAAATCAGTGGTGTCTTCACAAAATATTTACAAATCCATCAAAAAGTTTATAACTTTAATTATTGAAGTTGATAAATTTACCACCAATTTGTATTTTTTTTTAAAACATGCGCTGAAGTGCAATTTTCCCATTTTTTTCATCAAAATGATGTTAGAATCTTGTTTGCGGGATATATTTACTTTACTACAGAAAATAGTAGGACATTTACTTGGAGTTACATTCTTCTTTTGTTTATCTTGACTAACAGAAACTGTAAGGATGTTTGTAAAGGTGCAGCTGCCTTGGAATGTCGTAATTCCCGCTGAAAGCCTCGACACCAAAGGACTTATGCTCCAAAAGTCTATAATAATTCGCCTCTTAGATGACTTTTCAACGAAGAAGGCAACAAAAGAGCTCGGTTATTTTCTTGCACTAATCACACTAGACAACATCGGGGAAGGAAGAGTTAGGCAGCATTCGGGTGATGTACTCTTTCCTGTACTTTTCAGCTGCATCACTTTCAAGCTTCACAGGGGTGAGATCTTGGAAGGGGTTGTTCACAAGATCTTGAAACACGGTGTGTTCTTGAGATGTGGGCCCGTTGAGAACATTTACCTCTCAAACCAGAAAATGCATGATTATCGGTATGTCCCTGGGGAAAATCCCATCTTCATGAATGACAAGATGTCCAGAATTGAGAAAGAGGTGGCAGTGCGCTTCATTGTCATCGGGACAAAGTATATAGAGGCCGAGAAGGATTTTCAGGCAGTGGTGAGCTTGGAGGGCGACTTTCTTGGACCTGTTTCTTAAGTGAAGCTTCTCATTACTTGAGTCACTGCTTCTTATCTCATTTGGCAATGTAAAAACATGTTTGACAGCTTAAACTGATGACGACTAGTCTTGTGTTGTGAAGTGTTATGTTATTTATCAAAATGGTTTTCACACACCTTAAGCCTTTTTAAGTTTGGAGCTGCTTCTGATAAAAGGTGATTTGTGGGCTGTTTACAAATCTTATGTGGTTGGTAACTTGGTATCAGCAATAGCCAAAGCATTTACTGCTGCGTTATTTATCAATATGTTTCATTCTTTAACTTGATCATCACTTTAGGATGGTCTCTGCCTCCATTCTCCAGCCTCTCAAGGGAAATTTTTAGGTTGTATTTAAATCATGAATTTATGGAAACAACTAGTCTATAACACAAGAATGATTTTAGAACCAATAACATAAAACATCAGATAGTAGAATTCATTATAAAAGATACAGTTTTACTTAGATTGCTCTACCCATGCTTTATGTGATTGGTTCTGTGGTCGGTTCTCTGTGGTCTTGAACTCTTTTTGAGGACCAAAAGGCAGTTTATATATCTAGTATACTCCTTAGAGGGAAGCCGCTAAGAGATGGGACAGGTGACGGGTGGAAGAGACTGTACTCTACTTTATTTCTCTTGATAAAATAAAATAGTATGTATACCCAAAAAGTACAAAATATCAAATAGTTATATGCTAATCAAAATACTTAAAGAAATATGTGATTGTCACTTAACGAATCAGAGGCTTACAAAGCAATGGAAGCATAAGCTAGTATATGCTTGATTTCCCTCACTATTAATACTGATTGTGGTTTCCTCAAACTCAAAGATGCAATCCAACACTACTACAAATTAATCTAAAAAGAAATACATTCAAGAAAATGCCTTCCTTGATGTTCGATCCTTGAATGCATTCGAGAAACTGGGGCTCAAATATTAAAAGATATTGCTTCAAATTGCTTGTGGAAATTTTCTTTGAATAGGCAGTAGTAAATCATGAAGGAGAGGCAACCGATAATGCAAATTGGAATGGCAAGGTTTGATGAATGTGGTAATACGGCATATATGCCTGTAATGAATGCCAATACCATTGCTCCTGTTGCAATCATTAGAAGACCGGCGGCAAGAGAATAGCGATACAGAAGTTTAGTTTGGTCCCCATAATCAGCCGAAGCAAAATAAATCAAAACAGCACAAGTGGATAATATCATGGCCATGGAATCTGTTACGACAAAAGCTTTGAAAGCTGCTTCTCTTGTTAGAATCGCCATGCCTTGATTTGGGCCATCGTTGCTGTTGTAGCCACCTGTCATGGTGAAACCAGCTGCAAAAGTCACAGTTGCTATGAGTGTAGCCACTATCAAATGGGTGTCTCTTGCTTTCTTGACGTCAATGGGTATCGACTTTTTAAATTCAGTGCGTTCTTTCTTCTCGTTTGCTAAAAACTCATTATCTTTGCTAATTACATTTCACAAACCTAGTGTAGCACCAGCTGCTTCCAATTCTTCTTTTATGAGAACCTGCAATAATCATTCTTCAATCAATTAGGAAAACATTGTATCTAAATAATAACTTTAGTGAATTAAAGTGTGTACAAGGCGTCTGTCACTATGCAGTCTGGGTAGGATTGAGGGTTGACATCGATATACCTTTAGTACAGCTGCGGTTTCAAAATATGTTGATATGTCAAGGGGAGTCCAGTTTCCTTCGTTAAAGACAACCTTATCTGCTTTTCAGTGGTCTATTTGTTTTTTTTTGATCGGCAAAGAAAACTTCATTGATTGAAAAGCAAAATGAGAACAAAGACACAATTAATAAAGAGGAGCTGCAAAGAGCAAAAGAACTCTCAAACTAATCCCAAAAAAAGGGCACCAGAGAGAGAAGCTCAAACAAAAGCAAGCACCCCGTGGTTGATAAGGAACCAACCAAATAAAAGAGAAGAAGAAACGGGAACAAAGCCCAGCTGAAAAGTCAAACACAGCCCCTGATTTGTCTCTACTTGAAGACTAGATCATCAACTGAGTAGGGGAAATCCTTAATTGATGTTTTGAGCCACAGAGCTGCTCTGATTTTGATGAGTTCACTCAGAGCAGAGAAATTGGGTTGAGCCTCAGTGAAGACACATTCATTCCTATTCTTCCAAAAAGACCAAAGAACAATTAAGGGGATAGCTCTCCGAATTAACTTGTCAAGGTTCTTGAATTTTCCACCCATCCACCAGTTGAGAAGACCATCTACTGATTCCTGTATGCACCAATAAAACCCCCAATCTTGAATCGTTGCAGACCCATTCAACCAAGAGAAAGGGAAATGGAGAAAGACATGAACAGCAGATTCAGATTCAGAGCAACAGAAGGGGCAAAGGGTCGAAACGCTGCTGTCAAGAATGCCAATTCTGTGGAAAAACTCTGAAGATTTAATTCTTCTTTTCCAGGCCAACCAACAAAAAAAAGGAAACTTTGGGGGGTAATGCATTACTCCAAACATGTTTACAGATTCTGAGATGAGGGCCAAGAAGAGAACTACTAAGAGAGTAAAGAGCAGAAACAGAGAATAACCATAGCATGCAGAAGCACTAGTCCAAATATGGCAGTCTGCACTTCCAATACTCACGGGAGGAGCTGAGGATAAGACAACAATCAATCTAGCTTCTTCAACCTATTCCCAAGCATACAACTCTCTTCTATGAGGAAAGTTCCAAGCGCTTGAGCTGGTTTTCCTAGCAAAGAATTGGTGGAGAGAACCTTCCTTATCAGTCGAAAGATTATAAAGAAGAGGAAAATCAGTTTTAAGACAAAGGTCACCACACCACCTGTCAAACCAAAATCTAATTCTGTTACCATTCCCCTGTAGACACAAATTTTAAAACATGAAGTGTTTCAACACATTTCAAAATTTTATGTTACAAATGTCCACTGTTTAGTTTTTTTGACTAAACGTGTTGATTATTTGAATAACAGGTTCCTATTTCTGATATGTATTCCAGATCGTTAATTACACATTTTATAAAAATGAAACCTTCGATTAATGAAGAACAAAATAAATAACAGAAGACAATTTAAGAAAAATAAATATTTTATTGAAATTGTTATGGGTTTTCAACCCTTTAATACAAAATACAATTCTTGGGTTTGGAACCCTTTACCTGTTTATTGCCATTCTACGTTTGTAGCGTAGGTTCTTGGGTTCTACAGGCTTTTTTTCTTCTTTCTTGTAATGACTTCTTTAGCTCTTAATTTCTTTCTCTCTCTCTGATCTTCTCACCTCTGATTTTCTGATCCTCAATCTTGTGTGATGCTCCTCATATTTTTAGAGGGCTATCTAGGTGATAAGAATGCCTCATCCTCAATTTGAATTTCAAATTGAATGATAGCGCCATTTGAATTTTGAATGATAGCGCTATATGATTAATCGTATATTTGATTAACCAGATTGATTTTTGGAGTTTCATCCTGTGTGGTGTCCTTGTTGTAGGCTTTACAAGTGTCATCTTTTGTAGACTCCACATGTCATTTGAGCATCTTGAATAACATCGTTGAGATACGACGTTGTTTTATTTATATACTTTAATGGATCAAGTTGATCATTTTAGAAAGTGATTACTTACAACAATCCTATTATATGCTTCTATGTGTGTCATTAACTGATTGACCGTATTTGAAATATGAACATAAATTTGGTTGAAATTTATGTGCGAACACCCATTTCTGTTACTTCATTGTTTAGGGTTTTAACAAAATGTAACAACTATGTGACTACAAAATTAGGGTAAGAAATAAAAATCATCCCTATTTTCACCAATGCATGTTATCCCACGTGATAAGTATGTGAGAATTATATACAACTATATATATCTTCATATATTCAAAATAGGGATGAAGACGCAAGAAAATAAAACTTTCGAAATCAGGGAGGGTATTTTTATGGCGGACCAATTGATGTTGATTCAAATTCCATCAGGCCAACGGGTGTTCCTTATTCGAACCTTGTCAGGCCAACAGGTGTTCCTTTGGCTCCTGAGATCTGATTGGGATTTGGTTTGATCGCGCTTTGAACAGACCCGTCCCTGGTAATAGGGAGAGCATTTGTATGGCGGACCAATTGATGTTAATTCGAATCTCGTCGGGCCAACAGGTGTCCCTCATTTGAACCCTGTCAGGCCAACGAGTGCTCCTTTGGCTTCTGAGAGGTGACTGGGATTTGGTTTGAAAGAATTTTTGCTTTGAACAGAACTGTCGGCTCGTAGGCCGCCATTATTTTTTCAACAATAGGGGCCTTTTTCCATAAACAGGAGTTTGGGTCATTACCATCCTCTCAATGGCCCTAATGGTGGCCATGTTTTCAGCAGAGGCCCTCTTCTGGGCAGACTCTGCCATTTTAATGAAGTTTTCTACTCTTGAGTAGTTGGGCCACAACATTTTTTGTTGCGCCCACTGAAGCTGTAACAAAGGTTGTAGTTATAGCCTGATTAGCCTCCTTTGCCTGAATTAGAAAGCTCTTCATTCGGGCTGTAACCCTCACAGGTGCGTACTACTTCGACGGTTTCACATAATCTTCAGCAATCTTTCTCAAACTTTCATCTTTCTGGAGAAGTGTGACCTTCTTCGTCACACCAGTTACCTTCGGGACAGCCAAGAGCTTTTGCTCCGGAGCCCCTTGGGCTATAGGGGAAAGAAGTGCATCTTTCCAGGATTTCGCTGGTTCTACCTTTGGGACAACCAAGAGCATTCGCTCCGGAGCCCCTTGGGTGATAG